TTTCCCAAGAGACCACAGATAGTAAGGGGCATAGTCAGGACTCAAACTCAAATGTGCTGAGTTAAAACCTCTGCCTTAATTAACCCGAATACCTCACTCCTTTCCCACTGGGAGCTTGTTGGTGGATATTGATTAGATTCCCAACCCAGAAAGAGACAACATTGAAAGTCTTTTTAAAAAAACTCTCCACTCTTGCTAAATGTTTAATGTTATGTTCAAAGTCTCTGCTTGTGAAGTAAATAAGAGAGTTTTTGAACATGTGATGCAATGTGATTTCAGGAATACACAACCTTGGACTCTGAGTCTAGGTCTCTAAGATAGTTCCATTTACAAAGTAAAGTAGGAGAGGATATGAAGTCAGTAAGAGTTTTAAATACAAGGTCCTATGTTTCTTGTAAAACAATTGTCATGTATTCTTCAACCTAAGTATCTACGTGTTGATGTATTCCTATTCATGGTTAATAAAATATACTAAGTGCAGCATTAAATCCAAGAGTTGGCCAATCAACAAGACAAAACAGCCACTAGATTTGCCAAGATTTTTTGGATTTTTTTCCTTAATGATTTTTCCATTTGCTCTGCCAAATTAAACTTCAAATTAATGTATCTTTAAAATGTCATTTAATGTCAGTCATCAGCCAGCTCCTTGGTTATTACTGTAAGTTAATCATTGGGGTGTGAATTGAACTATATGGGGGAGAATGATAGCCCAGACTACAGGTCAACCACATGGTGCTAAAGTTACAGGAAACAATAAATCACAGACTGGGAGATAAACAACTGCATGGCATCTTAAGGCTCATCATAAGGGCTTTTCATTAGACCCATGTGTGCTTTTAGAAGAGTTCTGGGAGCATCGTATACTTCTCAAACATGTTCAGAGGCAAAGCACTCAGGACAAATAATAATTATAATTTATTAACTGCACACATTACTATCTATTATCTTTGTGTTTAATTATACAAACAAGGGAACATTTTACTAGAAAGAAAGGAAAGAAAGAAAAAAGAAAGGAAGGAAGGGGTGCATTGATTAAAATTGAGGTATAATCCTATATAATCAAAGCGTAGTATGCAAACTGTCCCCTCGACCAGGAGTTCGTCCTGGAGTTCAACCAGGGGGCAGGGCCGGCCAGGGGAAGGGAGGGAGTACCTGGCCGGCAGCCAGCAGCTGCTAGGGACCTTACCAGTGCGTGAAGTTCGTGCACTGTGTCTCCAGTTAACATGTAAAATGCACTGATCTCAAATGTTCAGTTGGATGGGTTTTAACAATTGCATGTACCCAAGTAACAACCATCTAAAATAAAATATAGACTATTTCCACCCCTCCAGAAGGTTCTCTCAGATGAGGAAGTACATCCATCAGCCAGCATCATTAAAAACCCCTTCTCCCCATCCCCAGTCCTCTCAATGTCTATTGCTCAGTTTGCAGCTGCTGCCAAAAATGTTCTGTCCTCAATGTCAAACCTCTCCAAGTTTCTTTTCCTGGTGTTTGGATTCTCTCTCTCTCTTTCTCCCTCCACCATGGAGCTTTATGACATAAAACAACTTGGCTCCTCTTCACTAGTGTCCTCTCTTTCTCACCCATTGAGGGAATTCTCCACAGGAAAGCTGAGCCCGGGAGTGATCTAGTCACAAATAATAATCCATCTCGTGTTTGACTATTCGGAGTGTGTGTGTGTGTGTTTGTGTTTGTGTGTGTGTGTGTGTGTGTGAAATAGGTACTATAACATAAGGAAGACTCTAGGTAATAACTAAAGACTACAGATAATAACTAAAAGAAAGAGAGAGAGAGAGATTGTGATTTCATCACAAAAGGGAAAGGACCACCATTGTTTTATATTTGTGGCGGTATGCTTTTCTCCTTATCATGGAGCACAATGTTCATTAAAAGCATTTCAGAATCACTGCCCCACAAGAACTTTTCTTAAATGGATGTGCCTCAAGGAACTTTAGACCTGAGGATATAAACCAAGACCACCCCAAGGAGAACAAGCCAAGGACTTATTCCAAGTTTGCAATGGCCAGGGAGTCAGTCATCATCATTTGTGTCAGGCAGAGGCTCAAAGTCAGTTCGAAGAATGGGAAAACTTCATAGTGGACAAAAAGGGAAGGTTTCAAGTATGCCCTGGCTGGAGCTTGTTGGTTTGGGAAAGCTGGACTAAATAGAGGTCAGACAGCCTATGTGATTGGTTAGAAGAACATAGTTGGCTTTTTCTGGTTGGTCCTAAGTTGGGCCAATAGCTACAGAGGCTGTGATTCGGCTTTCTGGATGGGTCGCTACAGAGATATGGGTCAGCATGCTATTTTTATATATTGTCTGGCAGTTGTCCATTTGTATATTCAGTTCCTTAGAGCAAATGAAGCATGAGATAACTGTGGAATCATGAACAGTCCCCTCAAAACCTTCCCAATCAACATCATCACCATTCTCTCCACCCACTCCACTCCTTTTCTTCTTTGAGTCCC